GTATTGTTGGCTATTGCTACAAATATACCCCAGCGACTTAACACTGCTTTTGTGCTCCAGGGTCACATATGTGCTTATATAAAGAAAACAATGTCATTAATCAATTTTTAATATTAAATTAATTATATAAATACATTTAAAAAATACTTTTTTATAATTATGGAAATATATAATTAAATGTAAATTTTTTTTTTTATAATTTATTTAGTGCTGTCAAACGATTAATCATGATTAATCGCATCTAAAAGAAATGTTTGTTCACGTGTGCTGTGTATATTTACGTATATATAAATATAAACATTTTTCTGAAATATATACATGCATGTGTGTATATTAAATATATGTATATAAAATATAAAGCCGCGCCAAGCGTCGCATCCAGTACAACCGGCGCTTCGTGAACGTGGTTCCCACCTTCGGCAAGAAGAAGGGCCCCAACGCCAACTCCTAAACCAGCCCTAACGAGCCCTAACGAGCGATTCCTCCGGAGGAACAAACACTCTTCCTGATCTGCTTCAGAGAGAGTTTCACAAAGTGTTCCATGGGTTTTCAATCAGTTCGTGAAAATAAAGATGCAATAAATAATACACTGTGCTGTGAAATACCTGTACTTTCAGAAGAAACCAAGTGCCTTCTAAATCATGCAGCAACACTTTGAAGAATAAGTTAGTGACACAGGAGCTAGAATGTAAATAGCCAATAAGAGAAAGCTTCTGAATTTAATAGAGGTGCATATTTAGTCAACTTTTTCCCTCGTCTAGATGAGCTCGTTCCTTTCTGACCTTAGTTTCAACACAAAAAGGGCACATGTTAAATATGATGTATTAACACGAGTCGAATGCGTTCAGTGCTGTTGCTGCATGTTCAGTGTTTTAGAAAAGCAAAGTAAAAGCGAGAAGTTAATGCTGATGCTGCTCAGAAATGCACAATGTTCGTCTCCAGACTGAAGAGCCTCATGATGAACCAAATATTATCAAACACACACACACAAAGAACTTATGTAATTTAAAATGAACTCAATCTTTAATCTTAAATATAGTAGCTTCATAATTTGATGGGTTTAAAGTTATCAACATTTTGTAAATATACAATGATTTTTTGTTATAAAAAACAAAAAAAATTCTAACTATAAATTTATGGCACTATATTTTTCTTTTGTGTATATATATATATATATATACGCATATCCGTTTATATATACATATATAAAGAAAAAATAAATAGTATATATTAAAAATATATAATGCCATACATGCGTGCTATTATATTTTATGAAGTTTATATAATTTTTATGTATATCATTTACACATAATACAGGTAAGGATTTGTATATTTAAAATGTAACAGCATTTATTTTCAAATATTTTAATATATTTCCTATCTCTACATATCTGTAGACCGAGATAAAATGTGACATTTTAAATAAATGGTTGCGTGTGTGTGTGTGTGTGTATATATATAATAAGTAACATTTTGAAAGTTATTTAATTCGCTTTTTCCAAATGAACCAAATTTTGCTATGCATTTTGTTTGGTAAAATACATTTAATGATTAGGTTGTTAAAAGTCGATATGTAGCATTTACAAAAAAAACCGCTGAAATTATCTACAAAATAAAGTTTGAATAAAGTCTATGTTTAGCAGTAACACCTGATTTAGTTGAAGAAAAATATGAATGTATTTCTGTAGCACAGATAGTAGAGAAAGGTGCTAGAAACACCAAGGTCATGCGTTCAATTTCCAGGAAATACATGATCTGATTAAAAAAACATTTGCAATATAATGTTAATATGTACACGCAGCTTTAGAGATGCATGTGTAAGAAGCGCACAACACATTGCTCAGGGTTTGTTTTTATTGGAGCTTTACAATCATGCAAACACCGTCAGAACGTTTCGTCCTTCTAAACACTCGTTCCTCCAAACGGTGTAGTGTTCACCGATCAATCAGTCAATCAATCTATGGAGACGAGCTCCAGCTCAAAGATCAGCTTGGCGTTCGGTGGGATTCTGGAGATGAAGGTTAAGACTCACGTTCATCTGTGATCTGTAGAGCAAACACTGAGCTGCTGAGTGAAGGATACTTGGAGACAGGAAGACCTTTCTTCCCATACACACATTCAGCCTCGATCTCCAGCCGCGCCGTCTCGCCTTTACTCATCCTCAGCAGCCCTTCATCCCACAACACAACAACACACACCACAACACAACAACACACCACACAACACAACACAATACACCCCACACCACAACACACACAACAACACACAACACAACAACACACCCCACAACACAACACACCCCACACCACAACACACCCCACAACACAACACACCCCACACCACAACACACCCCACAACACAACACACCCCACACCACAACACACCCCACAACACAACACACCCCACACCACAACACACCCCACAACACAACACACCCCACACCACAACACACCCCACAACACAACACACCCCACACCACAACACACCCCACAACACAACACACCCCACACCACAACACACCCCACAACACAACACACCCCACACCACAACACACCCCACAACACAACACACCCCACACCACAACACACCCCACAACACAACACACCCCACACCACAACACACCCCACAACACAACACACCCCACACCACAACACACCCCACAACACAACACAACACAACACACAACACAACACACAACACAACACTTCACACATCCCAATACAGCCTGCTCCAGAAAACTAACTAAGACCAGTCTGACCATCACTAAAACTTGAACTAAAATGAGAAAGGAAAGTATGAATATACTGTAATGCTAAATGAATGCTTGGCTCACCCCTCTGATCACTTTGCCCCACCTTGAAGCTCAGCGGTTTGGACTGTTTCTTCTTTTTTGCAGCTGGAAATAAAAGATGATTTATACCAACTACTATCATTTGATAACCAGGAATCCTGTGCAATGGATTAATATATAAAACCATTAAAAATATATATTACTTGAAATAAAATGTTAACTAAAATAAAATAAACTTTACACTTATTTTATTTCAGCAAGTTGCAATGCAACATTTTTCATTTAGTCTGATGTATTAAATTTTTTTTTGACTGTAAATGAATAAATACTCCATACACATATTACATACATATAAAAATAAACTAAGAAAAAACGGCAAAAACAACAAAATTTCAAAAACTAATTTAAACTGAAATGTGAAAATATAAAAAATAAATATTTAATAGTGTCTCCTTTTCTGGGGAAGTTGGTCTTGTCTCCTTTCTTCAGGATGCTCTTTGTGAACTTCGGAGGCCCCTGAAACACCAATCAAACATGAGAATCATTCTGATGATGATGAAGATGATGATGAAGCAGCAGCATGTCTCATACCTCGTCCGCTGGCTCTGTCTTGGTTCCTTTCGGGGCGTCGCTGATTTTAGCAGCTTGCACCAGTTCAGTCACGCTGTCCACGTCTGAGCCCTTAAACCTCTGAGAGAAACCGAGTCAGGATCTGGATCATCGAGAGTGAAGCTGAGACAGAGTGTGTTACCTTGCTCTCAAACAGCTGCTCTCTCTTCGCTGTCTTTGCCACATTCTTGATGTTTCCAAGAAGATTGTGCTCAGCTAGAAACTGCAAATAAATAGTTTATTATTTACTTATTAGTCAGTATATGTAAATAATCATAAATGGTTTAATAGTTATACAAAATGCAATTAAAAACGGTAATTTATATTAAACACAAAACAAATGAAAAATCCAAATGAGTTCAAAATATAATTTACAACAAAAATAATTGATCAGATGGAGCAAAAATCTATTAAAATAAATGTATGAATAGCAGATAAAAACAGGCATTAAAAAACCTTTATGTTGTTTAATAATAACATATTAATCACTAAACAACATAGTTCCCAATTTATTTGGAAGACATAAATTAAGTTTCAAATAAATATTGTATTCGGATATTCCTTCAGATTTTATTTTGAAGTAAAATATCTCAATTTCGAAAAATTGACCCTTATGACTGGTTTTGTGCTCCAGGGTCACATTTGTTGAGAGAACTTTAATATATTTCAGCTAAAAGTAATGTTATAACTGCAACATGAAAACTGGACATTTTAACGTTCTTAGAATATTAAAAAAAATAAACGTTCAAATTGTAAAACGTTGTAAGAAACATTTTTGTAACCTTTAAATAGCATTATAATCATAAGGAAAAATTGACATTTTAGCTTTCTTAGAATATTAAAAATTAAAATAACTTTATAATTTGGCTAAAATAGTAGAATGTTGTATGTAACGTTTTTGTCATCTTTAAATAACATTCTAATCAAGACAAGAAAACTGCAGATTTGAACATTTTAGAAACATTTCAACACAACGTTCCCACAAGGTTTTTAAATATATATCAATACTTTTATTCAACAAGGTTGCATTAAATTGATTTAAGCGACAGTAAAGATGTTTATACTTGTTACAAATTATTTATAGTTCAAATAAGTGCGGTTCTTTAACTTTGTATTCATCAAATAATCCCGAAAAAGTTAAAGTATCAGTTTCCACAAAAATATCAAGTTTTCAGTATTGACGATAATAAGAACCATTAGTAATAACTGACCACAAATAATAACTGATAATAATTAAGCAGCAAATCAGCATATTAGAATGATTTCTGAAGATCATGTGACACTGAAGACTGGAGTAATGATGCTGAAAATACAGCTGCGCATCACAGAAATAAATTACAGTTTAACAGATATTCACATAGAAAACAGCTGTTTTACATTCTAATAATATTTCACAATTAATTACATTTTAAAATATATTTAACAGAAAACCACTATTTTTAAGTGTAATATTTCATATGATTATGTTTACTGTGTTTTTTATCACTTAGCATTCTGTCAAAGAATAAATAAATAAAAATTAATTATTTCAAACATTTGACCGTGTGTATAAAATAGGCTAATGCATGTGAAAACGCAAATTATATTTTTATTATAGCCTAATATATATGACTTTCCTAATCAGTGTTCTAGAGTAAGTCTGAGAATTATATTTAGCAGTCAGATGTTTAGACGAGTTCTGGTGAAGAATATTCCCTAAAAAGTGCAAATCATTTTGCTAATTGCTCTGATTCTTTGCTGAGGAGGTGTCTCTGTATGGAAGTAATTAGTTCTTTCTTGGCAAATGAAGCGTTTAGATTCTCTAAAGAGCAGCAGGTTTAACAATTAAAGCCGCATTACAAGTTACGTAATCAGATTACTTTTTAAAGTAACTAGTAAAGTAACGCGTTACTTTTTAATTTACAAGAGAATATCGGAGTTACTTTTTCAAATAAGTAACGCAAGTTACTTTGTTTCCAGTTTATTTTTTATTTTAAAAACAAACAAGCAAGCCCTGTCCAGATTTAAAAAGTAATGCAAAAGTAACGTAATGCAATACTTTCCATAAAAAGTAACTAAGTAACGTAATTAGTTACTTTGTAATGGAGTGACGCAACATTGTAACGCATTACTTTTAAAAGTAACTTTCCCCAACACTGCTCCATCGCTCATTAGACTCGTCTCATCAGACCTGCTGCACAAACTCGTTAGAGGCTCAAATTTCTAAGTCTATTAGGAGTTTTGATACAGAGGTTTGCTGATAGTAGATTTACACAGTATATGTTCTGTCATACGTCGCATACATTTAGTCGTTTTAGCAGAAGCTTTTGTCTAAAATAAAATAAAAAACCTTTATCTTTTATTTAATTATTAATATTAAATATGTAGAATATATATGTATTATACACATTATATTATATTATATTATAACAATAAATATAATAATAATAATGCAACCATTTTATTCATTGATATAAAATATTTAGGCCTAATTATAAATAAGTAGGGTGTTTTTGTCACATGATCATTCAGAAATCATTCTAATATGCTGATTTATTATCAGTGTTGAAACTGTTGTGATGCTTAATATTTTTTTGGGACCTGTGATCCTTTTTTCTTTGATTCTTTGATGAATGAAAAGTTAAAAAGAATAGCACTTATTCAAAATAGAAATCTTTTCTAACAATATACGTCTTTGCTATCACTTTTTATCCATTTAACACTTCCTCGCTGAATAAAAGTATTAACTTCTTTAATAAAAAGAAAGAAAAACATACTGACTGAAACTTTTGAGTAGTAGTGTGTATTGTAACACAGAATTAATATTTTGAATAAACACTGTTCTTTTTATTTTTACTTTTTATTTGAAAAAAATATCACAGGTCCCAAAAAATATGAAGCAGCACTAATGTTTAATAAATCAGCATATTAGAATGATTTCTGAAGATCATGTGACACTGAAGACTGGAGTAATGATGCTGAAAATACAGCTGCGCATCACAGAAATAAATTCTATTTTAAAGTATAATACAATAGAAATCTGTTATTTTAAATTGCAATAATATTTCACAAAATTACAGATTTTTTTCAAATAGATACAGCCTTGATGATAAGAAACCGTACTGATTCCAAACTTTTGAACGGCAGTGTGTGTATGTAATTTATATTTGTTAAAAAATAATAATATACATAAAAGTACCACATATGATGTTATTTTATTCATTGATGCATAATATTTAATTAATTCTAATGAAACTTGGATAAAAAAAAAGCAAAAGTATTCTTTTCTTGTATGCTTATGGGAAATACATCCACATTCATACAACATCTGCTGTCCAAACATCAGTCAGAAACTGACGAGACATTCTGTAATATCATTTATCAGCACATATACTGATAGTAAAATAAACAGTTGCGTCCCAGCTCTTCCCCGTGGAGTGTGAGGTGTTTCAGCTCTGATCTGATCAGTATGATCGTCATTTAAAGCTCCTGTCTGTTTCCAGAAGAACTCTGTCTGTTCTCCTGACAAACAACACAGTGTTGAAAGAATCTCCTCAGATCTTCAGAATCCATCATGCTCGTCTAAATTGAATCGGTCTGTTCTGACATGAGACTCCAGTGTCAGAATAACATAAAAAACGATCTCTGGACAGGGAGGAATTATATTTTTATATCAGAAATCACAGAACTCTGTGCACGCCGAAATGGGTTTTTGTTCAAGCCGTGTTTCATTGTCAGACTTCAAAAGTCATCAGAGATTACAGAGCTTTTAGGAAACCAGCTTTATGATGCTGCTTATATGATCAAAAACTACAGTAAAAATTGTGAAATATTATTAGAATCTAAAACAGCTGTTTTCTGTGTGAATATCTGTTAAACTGTCATTTATTTCTGTGATGCGCAGCTGTATTTAGATAAAAAAGTTTGTCAAGACAAACTTGCAAGCCGGACCAGAAAGTTTGAAAAGATTAAAAAGTTTACGAAGTTTAAAAAAGTTTTAAGTTTTTCAGTCTGAAATAGTTTGAAGTTTAAAGTAGTTTTAAAAGCTTAAAGTTTGAATGTTTTGAAGGCAATACAGATAGATGGATGGATGGATGGATGGATGATAGATAGATAGATAGATAGATAGAGTGTTTGCTAGGGTATTCTAGGCGGTTGCTAGGGTGTTGCTATGTGGTTGCTAAGGTACTCTGGATGGTTGCTAGGGTGTTGCTATGCAGTTGCTGGGGTACCCAGAGCGGATGCTAACGTGTTGCTATGTGGTTGCTAAGGTACTCGGGGTGGTTGCTAGGGTGTTGCTATGCGGTTGCTAAGGTATCCGGGGCGGTTGCTAAGGTGTTGCAATGCGGTTGCTCGGGTACCCAGAGCAGTTGCTATGGTGTTGCTATGCGGATGCTAGGGTACCCCAGGTGGTTGCTAAGGTGTTTCTATGCGGTTGCTAGGGTACCCGGTGTTGTTGCTAAAGTGTTGCTAAGCGGTTCCTAGGGTACCCGGGTGGTTGCTAGAGTGTTGCTGTGCGGTTGCTAGGGTGCTGCTATGTGGTTGCTATGTACCCAGGGCGGTTGCTAAGCTGTTGCTAAGGTATTTGGGGTGGTTGCTAGGGAGTTGCTATGTGGTTGCTAGGGTACCCGGAGCGGTTGCTAAGATTTTTCTATGCAGTTGCTAGGCTGCTGCTATGTGGTTGCTGTGTACCCAGGGCGATTGCTAAGCTGTTGCTAAGGTATTCGGGGTAGTTGCTAGGGTATTGCTATGCGGTTGCTAGGGTACCAGGGGTGGCTGCTAAGGTGTTGCTATGCGTTTGCTAGGTTACCCAGGGCGGTTGCTAAGGTGTTGCCATGCAGTTGCTAGAGTACCCGGGATGGTTGCTAGGGTGTTGCTATGCAGTTGCTGGGGTACCCAGAGCGGATGCTAACGTGTTGCTATGTGGTTGCTAAGGTACTCGGGGTGGTTGCTAGGGTGTTGCTATGCGGTTGCTAAGGTA